CTCTCTCTATACCAGAGTTACTTTATGCTAACAGAATTGTTTCACATCAGTGATGGTTTCTAAATCAATTTAGCTAAGTTGATGCCAAAAGTTGCATGAATAATCTTTCTCATTTAAAAAAATTTAAAACATGCCATTTTGAATTATTCAAATAAGACAGAAAATATCAGTTAAATTAAAACAACCCACAGGTCTATGGTTGAATAACCTCAAAGAAAACACTTCACAACTAACTTTTCCTAATATCTCAGTGATGTCAAAAACTGATTATATAATTCTTGACCCTCCTCTCCTTTCCTATTAAATGTAGACTTCATTAGGAGAAAGAAATGAGAAAATATTATTCCAGTTAATTAAGTTATTCTGAAAAGGCAAGAAATATAGATTCATACAAGGAAAAAAATCCACTTAACAAAATCAGAGCATAAACTAGTAATTCACAAGAAAAACACTTTCTCCACTGCATCTGCTCAATTATTTAATATTAATATTTGAGATTTCTGTAGGTAAAGAAGAGAAGTATGGTCCTTTTATCTGTGATTTGACCTCTTCAGCGAGTTTGGGATCTCTCCTATTCAGAAACAGATATTAATACTCTAACGCTTTGATTTTTTTGTGTGGATCAATTTCATAGCTTTATTGCTGTCAGAGCCCTGTTAACATCCAGACCCTACAAAATACCCGTGAAATCTGTATTTAGGTGTTATGTGTTTGTTTGGGTTTTTTTAATTTTTGTCATGTACTCACTGAAGACAAGAGCTGAGATATTAGCCTTTGGCTCAAGATATTTCTTGGCCTTCTTGCCCTCAACCTCAAACTTCTACTTTTATTCACGTCTGAGCCCTACTGGGCAAATAGAAAAAAAAGGAACAGAAGAAAAATTCCTTAAATATGCACTCTCTTTCTCTACATATTTAATGATCAAGTAATGTTTACCAAAGAAGCAAAAAGAAAGTCAGTAAAATCTAAATTGCTCAATCTGTAAATGAAACATGTATCCTGTCTTCTCAAAAGCTACTACGTGCCAATGCCAGCTCTCATTTAGAAGTATTTGTTTTAATTAATCAATTTAAATAATCCCTTACAGCAACTTTGCAGTACATCCAGAGAGCATTTTCAGGAAGCTGGTACTTACACAGTGCACAAGGAAGCAAGAGGCTGTGAAAGGTCCCAACTCTTGCCATAGCCAAATGGTGACAATTCAAGCTTGCAGAAGAGAACAGAAGTGTGTGCTGGGTGGGTCAGCTAGTGGCTGTAGTACACAGGGGACTGTCACAGCTGCATTACTTTAAGGATGACCACAATTGTATGATTTGGCCCATAATGGCTGGTTTATTCTCAACCAGTTCAGAGACAGGAGACATTATTAGGAATAAACTGCAGAAAACGTATAAAAGTACTCTGAAGGAGGTTGATTTATCCTAGTAGGAAGAAATCATCTTGTGCAAACCTAAATTAAAGTTTATGGCTTAATCACAACTTGGCCCTAGGGTTTTGCTTGTTCAGAAGAACAAGCTATATAAACTGTTAGTTCTTTGACAGTGTCAAGAATTAGAAGTTCTAAGACATCTGTTTTTTCGAAGAAGTGATGCTAAGGAAATAGATACATTACTACCTGGAGCACCATTTGCCCAACAAGCAGGGGGTAAACACCTGAGCTTAAAGGACATGGTGCTGGCTGTCAGAACCCACTGCAGATGTCAGGCTGATATCAGGAAAGCACTTCAGATCACCCTCAGCTTCCAGCTTGGATGGCAGCTGTTCAGTGCATTTGAGGGGCAGTCAGACATGGTATCTGTTCATCGTGAGGTCAGACTTCTTGCCAGTAGCTTGGTACCTTTGCCATACTGCAACCCCCTTTTAAGACCATGTCTGGATTGGTACCAGAGAACTCAACACCTCAGAACTGAGCTCCCTCTGCATTAAAAATATCATTCATATTTTTTGTAGTTGATGGAAACAACAATGAGAAATCCAGGACACAGGCTATCAGATAAGACATGGTGGTAGGGCAGGACTACCAACAAAGCCTTTCTAGGAAGGCAGATGACACCAGAGCTGCAGGTGTGGCATCCAGGCAGCCCCTCTTGCCCATGCAACCACCCAGAGTGCTGCAAAGCCATGGAGCTGGATGGCAGCTCCAGCTCCCTGCTCACAGCCCTGATGGGGCTTACACTGTGACAGGAGGAAAGGAATAGATGAGCTGCATTGGCTTTCTACAGCTTTCTAAGAAAAGAGAAGACTGGGTCTGTAGATTTGTGGTGTCAGTGCTATATGATAAATATTCAGTAGTGACTTTAAAAATCTTTATTAATCTTGCACCTACTGAATGAGGCTATGATAATGTAAAGCAGCGGAAAACAAGCCAACATCTCTTTCAAAAGCTTTGGGTTTACCACCTTGTTCATAGTCACAGTTACAACCGCAACTACTTTGAAGGAGTCAGTAAAATACGGCCAGTTAATAGTCACAGTGAATATCTGCTTCTGGTCAGCTTCTCTAGTCATTTGTCAGAATCCCACAAATCCCCACACTTTTGCTAAAGGACAGCAGCCCTGTGGAAAAAAGGCTGAAGGATCTCTATCTTTTTTTATTAGGACTTCCATTCACACTCTTAAAATGCTCAGTGAGTGTCACTGCCCTGCACTGTGAACAGCCATGAAGTCCACCTGCTCAGCTGTAGTTGCTAAGGAGAAGCCACACTGACAACAGCCTGTTTTCTTTTTCAGCCCACTTTGGAACTGACCATCAGTGCTCTTGTGTAAACATCAAAATCTGGGTCAATTAACCTCATGCATGACAACAGATCATAACATCTGCCCAGTGCTGTAACTGATCTGTACAACTTTCCACAGAGTATTTGTGTCTTCATTTCCCACTCTGCCTCACCACCATTTCAGTCCTTTGGCCCTGGGTCCCCGATCATCTCCTTGTACAACACAGAGGACACTCATGCATCACATGTGTGGCATGACAGTAGATTGTGTAGCTTGGTTAAATCTTTTTTAAAAAAATTCTTTGAGAAGAAGACAATGCCAAATCTTTGCCTCACTGACAGATGACCCAACCCTATCACTGATTTTAGCAAAAACAATCACTGATTTTTCACCATACCTTATATATAAAAATATGGATTTTGGATTACTGCATATGCACAGACAAAAGAGGGAAAGGACACTAACCTGCTTGATATCAGAAGCTATTTTTAAATTTACACAATAAAAGATACAAACTCCTAGTCATCTTCCTCTCTTAAATATTTATTATTCTCTACCTGGAAAAACAATTTTGATTTTCCATTTCCCTGAATATCTTCGTTAAAATCTCCAGCAGTCTGCTAATTCCACATACCTTGTACACAACACAGAAATGCTGTTTCCTGAGCTAATCTGTTTGTCAGATAGCTTGTTTTCAAACAATTAGCTACATCAGGATTTCTCCATAGCAAATCAATTGCTAATAGCTTTGGCTTAGTCAGATATGAGCTTTAGCATGATGATACACTTCTCAAAAGAAATCACAAAAAATGGCCGGTAGCTGTTACAGTAAGCTTCTCAAAAATAAGTTACAGTTGCCATACCATGTAGCCCTTTGATTCTCATTTTGTTTATCCTTTACCCTGTCAGTATATTCCCCCAAAATAGAGTGAGACAGACATGCTCCATTTACTTGTCTTTGGTAAATTGTAATTCCTTGTAAAACCTCTTTGAAGTTGCTGCTTATCAATGTGAGGAAGACTGGCAAGTTTAGCCCAGTCCCAATGTAAGCAAGCTTAAATTAAAAAAGTCAAATAAAACAGAAAAAGAAAGAGCAAATAAAACTGTATGCTTATGACAATAACCCAACACTTCATGCAACCTATATTGCACAACGAGTCCAGGTCAGTCTTACAAGATTTATAAACTTTAACCATGCTACATTTGGGCAAGGAAGAAAGCAGTACTCATAAGACAAGTGCCAAGCCTAGGCAAAAGCTGTGTTTTCTGAATTTACAGTGTGTAAAGTCTTCTATACTTTCCATGAGTTTGTCCAAATACTGTATTTCCTCTTTTAAGAAAAAACTTTGGGAAACAAATTTATTAAGGCTGCAGGAATCACATGCCACTGAAAAAAATAATTGAAATACTTCCCCTATTTCATGAAGTGATCTCTGAAGAGAAGCCACCCACCTCTAAGATTAAGTGGGAGCCACGGTAATGGTGGCAGATTTGTGCACCACATGTGACACCAAGCATACAGTATGCAGTGGTGGTTAAGAAAACTGGTTAGAATCAATCCAGTTACCACAGCTTAATTAGTACTCTAATTACTCCTGATTAGTATGAGTCCCCATGACGGACAGTTTTAATTCTTTGACTAAGGCAACTGCAAAAGTAGTGTGTTAACTTTTACCTGTTTTCATTTTGTGAAATATTTATAAACAAATACAAGCACTTGACTTCTCACAAGTAATCTCATGACTAAGTTTTGCATAAAATTATTACAATACCCCTCATTTAATGTTTTCAAGCAATTACTTGCAAATACACTATCAGTTGAAGGCCATAAACATTTACCCAGTGCTGCTAGCCATTCCAGTGGCAAATTTAATTTTTTGTGCTGATCAGTCCAAGAAAAGTCATGACTTTTATCCCCTAGTAATTTTATGTAAAGGTTTCATGAGCCCGTGAAAGAAATTGCAGGAAGTCTGGACATTTTTCTCAGTAGCCATGTGAATTTGCTGCTGTGCTCACTGTAGAAGAGCTGATTTATAAGCATGACCAAGAGTGTTGCATGAGGGGCAGCCTGTGCCTTTGTGGGTCAGCTATATGCACTGAAACCATCGTTAAACATGCACAAGAAATTTCTATGTATGGACCAGAAGGTAAAACTAAGGCTATGCATGCACTGAAAGCATTCACATTAATGCCATGCTGTTTGCTTTTCCCAAACAAGGTATCAATGTTGCGTGGTCCTGCACTCAGAGAGGAGACGCAGTTCAAGGACTGACAATACATAAATTTTTTAAAACATTTTCTCTCTTTTTATTTGTTTTTCCTGATGGTTGCTACAAGCAGAGGAGGTATTCAGAAAAGTAACTGCACAATACAAACACAGGCAGCAAACTAAGTTGGTGGCATGAAAGGTGTATCTGAGAACACAGAGTTGACAGAATCTGAGTCGGATTTTGTTCGAGTAGTTTTTAAGATACTCTCAGTAATGACGCTGTCATTAGGAAACAGTTTTACTTTCCCATTCTGACTGTGTTTTGGTTCATGCATGGGTTCCAGAAAAGCTACCCGTTTACCAGTGCTAGCCTTCTTCTCGTCTGCTGGGATTGCAGAATTCAGCTCTTGCGGCATTGTAGAATTCAGTATGGAAGAGTGGGCACTGCTTTGGTTCAGCTTCCTCTTCTTCTTTTTTGCCTTACATTGACATGGGCAGGGGGTCAGATAGAGATACAGCAATACTAAAATAATACTGGCCACACAGGCAGCAAGGGTGGTAAAAGCTGTATTAAATGCTTCATGAGCATGGGACCTGTTCATTGTGAAATTGCTAACATTTATTCTAACCTCTACGGTTTCATTTAATAATCTTTTCTTATTTATTGCGATGCAGGAATACAGTCCTGAGTTCTCTAGCTGGGCATCTGTTATTTCCAGGCTGCCGTTAGGAAACACCTTAAAGTTATTGGTCTCCCTGTCTGGCTCCAGCAATCTATTGTCTGGACTAATCCAAACAAAATGTGTGCCCACATCACTGATTCTGCTGTCACAGTGTACAATCAGCCTGTCACCAACTTGGGCATCATGAATAAACCCAAAGGCTTGGAAAGAGCTGTTGACAGTGCTTTCAGAGCAATTCAGAAAGTTGTCGAGCAGTAAAGGCAGTTTATTGTGACCTCTTGGGTCTGATTGCAACAAACAGCTGTACTCATTTTTGAAGTCCACCACTGAGTTGAACTGCCTTTGATACCAGAAGATTAGCATGGAGTACAGGACGCAGTCACAATAAAATGGGTTGCCGTGAAGATAAATTCCACTAAGTTGTTTAGCTGGCACTGAACTCAAGCGCTGAATAGGCATCAACCGGATGTGATTAAAGGAAACATCCAGCAATACAAGGTCTGTCAGTTTATGTTTTCCAACATATAAGTCCAGTGGGAAATTTGAGAGCAAGTTGTAGCTTAAGTATAGTTTCTGTAAGTTGTACAATCCTCCAAACGCTAAAGAGTCAATCTGTGTTATCTGATTGTTGTACAGCAGGAGAACCTCCAGTGCCTTTAGCTCCTGAAACACAGGGCTGCCCAGTGTCTTCAGGCTGTTGGATGACAAGTCTAGGTACTTCAGATTTGGAGTTGTAGAAAAGCTTCCAGTGACAATGCTGCTAATGCTATTATGATTGACTATTAAAGTGTTCAGTTTCTCAAATAACACTGGGACCCATTCAGGCTCCAAAAGCCCAATTCTGTTATAACTCAGATCCAGCCTTTTTATACATTTATAAAGATTTCCTGGCACTCGACTGAGGTTCTTATTGGTGCAGCTTATGATATCACTGGCACAGATGCAGGCTGTTGGACACATCCCTGGGGCACTGCCACAAATGCTTACTGTGAAGACCAAGAGGCATGCGAGTCCTTTGCAGTTCACTTTAAAAACTCCAAGTTGAGTAGGAATTGTCCGCCTGTTTAAAGACATTGTCACTGTCTCTTAGCTGTCTCCCAGAGCTCCTTCCCACAGATTATACGTGCAGTTAGTTTTGCACCAGTTGCTGTCAAAAGAGGGATACAGAGGTACAGCATGTTAACATTTATCATTCATACCCTGATTGATTTCTTACACATGTCTTTTGAAAAACACAGGGAATTAATCCTTAGTGTTTCACATAATTAATTGTAAAATATAATTCTTAGGTGATGTAAGCGTAACATTGGCTTTATATAAACATGAAATTCTACATTCATGTGTAAAAATATACACTATAGATGCAGTATTTTTTGTCTTCAAAAAGAATGCAACTATTCTTCAGTCTTGGACCAAGTAATGCAATTTCTGACAGTTCATTAAAAAAAAAAATCAAAAATGTTCCTCTGTGGAACATGACTTGGTAATGGTATCCCCTACCTGTTTCCAAACCAGCACAGACAGAAAATTCCCAATACAGGAAAGAAAAAGCCTCATCTAAAAATGTTATTTTCTTGTCTAGTGGGAAGCAGTTATAATGTATTTCTTTATGATCAGAAAATGTCACACATTTTCAAGAAAAGAATTTTCTCAGACTTCTTAGCTTTAAATGTCATACAAATTTTTTTTTTAATTCAGTAACTTACAGTTAAGGTATCAGCCTATTTTTAAAGATGTTCAATTAGAATATTTTGTATTCTCCATTTTGCTAATTGGCTACTTCTACCTTTGCCAATAAGTGTTGAGGCAGAAATCTTCTATGCCTGGTGCATACTTCAGGCACAACTTTTGGGAACTTTAAGTAAGAATGAGTCAGCTGTTTCTCAAAACTTAGTAAAGGAAAAAAAATATTTTGCTCATATGTAAATAGTAAGAAAAAACCCAACCATACTCTTTTCTGAGACTATTTTAGAGTCACTGTGGTTTGAAGCAGGGACATAACATTTGGCACGGTAGTGATTCTGTGCTAAGAGACATGCTTTTTGCCATCTTCTAAGAAAATGTACACATACCAGCAGAGTAATGTTCTCTCTTGTTCTCCCTGGATCCCTGTTACAAGTTTGCCAGTATATTCACAGGTAAGTTCATCTGCATTGATTATTGTCACCCCTTCAGAGCTCAAACATGGTATTCAGCTCCCATGTACCCTCATATTCATTTCTCCAATCTCACCCACCTGTTGGAGCAGTATCTGAGCAGGACGAACCCTGTGATGCCTGCTCTGAGCTGCTGATAGTGGCTGTGGCCAGGAGCTGGGAGGCTTCCTGTGAACAGTGGGAGGAGGAGAAAAAAGCATCCTCAGATGGAAAGTGAAACTGTATTCTCTGATGATGCAAGATGGATGAAGAAAACAGGAGTCTTGAGGACAAAAACATTAAAATCAAGACCTAAATGGTGGAGGGAAGCAGGGCAGAGAGACAGTCAAAGAAAGTGAGAGAGAAAAGAAGGGTAAAAGATACATAGGGGAGGTAGTGCAAAACCAGGGGAGGTGGATGCTAATGGAGCATCATCACTGTTACTAACGAAGCAACTGAGGAGGAGGTAGTTTGAGGATGCAGAAGTCAGTCAAGGCATATGAGACTGGAAAAGCAGATGAGGAGGGTGTAAAGAGGACTAAGCAGAAGAGAGGCAAGAGATTCAGGAGGTGAACCTTAGACCACACTTCTCCAGAGAATTTATATCTGCTACTTATGAACCTAAAATTACCTATGCAATTTATTAATACATGCAAAATGCAAACATTTCCACTCCCCCTCAGTTCTTTATTTCCCTTGCCTCTAACCCTCTGCCAATCTGGCAGGCTGCTCAGTAGCTGGCAGGCTACTCTTAAGTGGTAGAAGATGTGCTATGAAACTAAAGAGCTGAACCTTCTAATGACCCATCAAAAGAAGAAATATGAAGGCAGCAGGATGGGAGAATTCACCTTTCACAACAATTTATATATACATTGGCTTTAGATGTTTGCATTCCCAAAAAAACACCAAGAGAATGGCAAGACTGCCAAGTCAAGTGCTCAAAAATTAAGGTGTCGGAATTAAGGTTTCCTTGTCATTTTTGATTTTTATACACAGTCTTTGGTTATGCGATAGTTTTAGTCTCGGCCTTCCTCGGTGATCAGTTTGTAACCAAGGAAGTGGCCATGTTTCCAGTATTCCATATGATTTTTATGCAAGCCAGGGTATAAATAAGAAGGAGAGAGAACCCTTTTCCCTCTTCCCTTCCGGTGGATCTAAAGACACAGGTTCTCTGCTGTCAGTCCTGCTCATGTGGGGGAGTCAGGCCTAGTGAGCCCTTGTAGACCGTGGGAGCTGGAGGGTGCTGGCGGTCGTTTGGCGCGATTCTGCTATTTCAAGGAGAGTAGTAAGATTTTCTTTCGCTAGTTCTTTATTGATTGTTATTGTGCATACCTGCTTCTGGTTTCTTTTGTGTTTTTGCCCCTTTTCCCCTTCCCTTCCCCTTTTTGGGGGGTTGTTTGGGTTCTCTTTTTATATGTACATACTATTGTAACTGTGATATATGTAAATATATATATTTTGATATAGCTCAGTTGGTTTCGGATCTTTCAGTTTCTATAGTTTTTTTCCTTTGCCCAAAGGGGAGGGGGAGGTTTTTGCTGTAGTCTGGGGGGATTTGGTGGGAAGCCAACTACAAATGGCTACAGGTTACATGATTGCTAAATTTTCCTCCAAAACCTTTCCTCACACTGTGCACAGGTTTTGAGGAAGAACAGGAAAAGAAAGGGTGATTACATTAGGAGCTCAGTAAATGCCTATATCTGAGAACTGGAGCATGTCCTAGCCTCTGCCACAAAATTCCTGTGAGCTCAGGCAAATTATGTAAACTGGTGACTGTTAGAAAGTAATGAACACATTAAAAGCACCAGCTTGGAACTTAGAAAATAAGGAACCTCTATGTGTTAAGTTTGGAAAGGACTCATCTGAAGAAATGCTGAGATGCGACTCAATGCATGACTCTAGCTGGCACTTCTGACTGCAAAGGCTTCTCCTTGCTTCCCTCTCTATACAAGGGATATAGCAACATGATCTTAGCTATAGAAATCTTGTAAAAATAAACCGATTGGTTTAAATGAAAGCTTAATATCAAGATTCATAAACTCTTCTAGGCTTTTACAGCCTACTGAAGCTTCTAACTGCATGGGGCTTTCAATGGGAAGTTAGGAATCCAGATGAATATATTTTTTTAAACAAGTCATTTAGTTAGTCTACTGCATGAAGCAAGGTGTCTGAAAACCACATACCATACAACCATGTGCACGAAGACTGAATTATAAAGTATCCACAAAATGGGAGATGTACTGCTGTTGCATAGGTTGCCTTCCCACTAACATTTGAATGCCTGATTCTGCAAGCTATGCAGCCTAATTTTTAATGTAACTGCACTTGGAACAAGATGAACAGCACTTTCAAAAATCAGTTCCCATGTTGAATATAACTGCGATCCTGGAGATACTCCCAATGGGATGTATGGGTCAATGCTCAGGTTTGGAAGGGTTACCAAGTTTAATACACTAGATAACCTTGCAAGTTTGCTTCTGTCCGTGCCTACAACTATCCCTGAGCTAGTCCGCGACCAAGTACCACAGGCAGATCAGCGGGTACTATAAATCAACACAATACCTTTGAGTTCTAGGGAGGAAAAAACCTTGCAAGGGCTGAAAACTGGGTTGTCCACTTTCAAAGCTTGTTGAAGTTGAGAAATGAAAACTGTTTCAGATAACTTGCCTTGCCTGGCAGGGCAAATCCAAATTACAGACACCCTAAACATATCACAGGACATACAAGATGATTTAGAGATTACACTGAAGAGCAGAAGCATTCCTTGCCATGCCCAACTCACAGTGCAGTGCCTACATTCCCAACAGGTTCTCTGCCCTTTTGGAGAGTAGGACTTTTGAGTTGCAACTTGCTCTTCAACCTGTGTTCCCCAAATCTTCCTCACAGGTTACCTAGGATGGTCTGCAAAGCCAAGCATGATCAATATAAATATTTATAACCTATGTGGTCATTTGAACTTACTTAAAATAACTGCATAAGTATTTCTGGGTAGTAACGTGCATGTGTTAAGTGGAAAGGAAGAATAAAGCCTACAATTAGCCCTATATTGAAAAGTGGCATTTTGTTTCACCCATTACTTCAGGTCTTAGAAAAGTCCTATTTTAGAAATTTCAATATTGCATATTTTCTCAAGAGAGATACTGCTATTGAACACTATCAGCTAACATGTGTCAACAGACTCTGGCAAAGTACTTCACCATTATTTCTGAATGAGCTGGGTAAATAGTTTTTTGATTTGTAGTAAAGTAAAGGGCACGGTTGGGATTTTTCTTCTTGAATTCTTTTCAAAGAAATAATTTCTTTGTGGTGTTAAAGTGTGATATTTTAAGATCACTGTCAAAACCACAGTACTCTCTCAGATAAATCATCTGTGCAATAATGGTACACATGCCTCTTAACTGTTCAAGAAGAAATGCAGGACATGTCCTGCTATCATAGGGAAGATCTGTAGTCAGGAACAGGTAATGTGTACGTGTGTTATTGGTTTTTGTGGGTTTTTTTTCCTTTTTTTCTTATTTCTGGGTTGGTTTTGGTTTTGTTTTGTTTGGTTCTTTTTAAAGTAATGAGCATCTAGAGCTGCTTATGGAAAAGGGGAACGCCAGGCAACATACAGCCTCACCATTAGTTATCACTAGAAGATCAACTAATGTCCTAGACACTCATTTCCCTTTTCTCTGGGCTCTCTCTCCCGCTAATGCAACATTAATAATCTCTACACCAACTTTCTCATCTCCTGCAAGTACCTTCAGGCTTATTGCTGTTTCTTCCAGGGGACCTGTACACCAAACTATCTCTCCCAGTTCATTTGAGACTTTGCTAAAAAAATCCTTATGTGGCCCATCTCTTAATTTAAGCAGTGAACTGGACTGAAGTCCTTTTGAAAATACTACCGCTAGTCTTTTCATCATAAAAAAATTTGGTATGATAGATGTTAATCCTACTGTAAAGCATTTTCCTGGTGATGCAAATAGTCCCACATCTGGCTGGTACATCCTGCAGAGTGAAAATGAAAACATTTGCACACAACCTCACTGTACCACTGCAGGAACAGTAGCCTCTAGAGAGCGCAAACACTAGAAAATATTACAGATCTCAGTTCACCCTCCAGAAGGTTCACACCATTTCTATATCTCCTACCTCCTTCCTTGCACCACATCTCCTATGACTGTCTTCTCTTGAGTCTCGCCCCAGTCTCATCAGCACACAAATCACTCATACATCTTTGCACCTTCTCACTGACTTCCAGTGTCTACATAGGTGCTCTCCCACTATACCAGTCTACATATCAGATGAATCAGGGCTGTATTAGTTAAATATAATACATGAAATGAAACAGTAGTAGTTCAGATGTTAACATTTTCTCATAGCTCTATTATTTTTTTCTGGCATGACATTTGACAAAGCTTTCCTCATGAACTCAGAAGAAAAAGTGCTTTTTAGAATGGGGGTTTATTAATTTATAACAAAAATACTATACAAGTATAATTATTCATGCTTTTAATCCTAATTTTGAAAATCCTGCTTAAGTACATGACACAGCCATTAATTACAAACAGACTAGTGGCATCCTATGCAATTAATCTTTCAAAAAGTTACACTTATAAGGAAGGTCTGCATAAGATTCCATTCCTTGTGTGTGTGGGGGGGAGATACTGTCAGAGGAAATATTCCTACAACGGCCATCTCACTTCAGTCTCCAGGTTCTACTCTGCTTTTATCACTCCTGAGTGTAAAAGGAATTCTCTGCATCAAATCCTCCTGACAGCTGTGCTCAGCATTTCTGACTGAGCAGATCTGGATTACTCAACCATCATAATCCATGAGATTTAGTGACATGACGGATTGGACAGCAAAGACTGTTGGTGAGCTACATCTGGGAGATGTCTTGATACACTGGACTAAATCCCTGAACTGGGCTAAATTGTGTTTGGTGCAGGAACTAACAGTGATGAAAAAATGGTTTATATCATATTTGCAGCAAGCTGATCCCGAGGTCAGCCTGGCAAATGGAGTGGTCTCTCTGGCCAGCATCTGGCCAGACCTCAATCATGCTGAATTAGAGATTAATTTGTCCGAGTAACCTTAGCCAGATAAAACTATAATTTCTTTGAAGAGAGATTTTCTCTTTCTTTTTTTTTTTTTTAAGCCCACGATAATTCACTTGGCTTAAAGAAAACTGAGACAGAGATGAGCAACCGGGTGACGTACAGAGCCTCAGTCGGAATAATCAACAGTCTCTTTACGGCAGTACCAGCTACATGAAGTCAACACTTATCCCTCTGAGGGAGAACAAGGGAAATAAATAGGCATCAGTGAAACAATAAATTCACCCTTTTTGTCATGTTATTTTGTAAATCAAGCTGCAACCAAGCCTAAACCTTGCAAATTACTTCAGTTGCTAAGGAGATCAGCAAATAATTAAGAAAAAACGCAATGATAAGCGGCAGTGCCTCTTACAGTATCGGTAACCAGTCTCCAAGCAATGAATTTCCACATCCTACGAAAGTTTAGTTGCCCAGTGTAGGATCCCCACCGCCTCCAAAATTTATCTGACGGGCTAAACTTCAGAGAAATACCTTTGCCTATGAGGTGGGGGGCTCCTGCCAGTCTCCCGACAAGGTCTGCCCGCTACAGCCCCCTGATTCCTATCGAGAGTCGACGGAGAGCAAAGTTTCGGTGAGTCCAGTGGCCGAGCACGCTAAGCCGGCATCGGACCGAGGGCACTCACAGGCATTCCGAAGGGTCTCTAACTGACTTCCCTGGGTAGGCTCGGCCACTGCTGCTCCGCTCCACGGCGGAGGTACGGACTCGGTCTCCCCCGCCCGCTGCCGGCATGCGCTCGCCCCCGTCTCTGGCGGCCCATCTCAGCCCCGGCTCCTGCCCCGCTGGACCCTGTCCCCCGCCATATCCCGGCTACCGGGCGATGTCTGCTCCGCCACCCCGCCGGGCAGCGTTACCTGGAGCTCCCGGTGACCACTTCATGTCCGGGGAGCGCGACGCCGGCCCCGCCGCCGCCTCCAGCCCCGGCCCCGCATACTGCGCTCCGCTCGGCTCCGGGGGAAACTGGGGGCCCCGAGAGCGCGGCAGCGGCTCCGCTGCGCTCCCCCGCGGGCGCAGGCAGTGCTGGTCCGCTGCCCTCGGGAACGGAGCTGAGGCCCGAAGCTCGGCACCGGCGGCGGGTGAGGAGGGAAGGCAGCAGACTCCCAGTCACAGTGGCGACGGGGTTTTTATCGCCTCCTGCCTCCGCCTTCCCGGTCTCTCCCGCTGCGCAGCGCCGGACCCTATGCCGCTTCAGTCCGACGCACTCCCGGGGGGTTTCCGCGGCAGTGGGTCGGAGTCATCGGTGCCCCGGGGGAGGAGCGCACCCGCTGCCCCCGCTCCGCCCCTCACCTCCCAGGGGGCTGCCCAGCTCCGCCTCGGTCCGCTCCCCTCCGGGCCTGGTCGCCAGCCGCTATGCCCTCGCCGACAGCGGGGGGGCTTCGCCGCCCGGGTGGGCTCAGCCCCTCCGGTGCACACCAGCCCCGAGCCCCGAGCCTGGCTTGCAGCTCCTCGGCGCCCTGGCGGGGGGCAGGCAGGCCGGCTCTGCAACCACCGGGGAAGCCCCGTTTTCGTAGGAGTGGACGCTGCTGAAGACGCGGTCCCCGTTAAAATACATCAAAACTCTCCGTAAGGGGAGATGGAACCTCAGGGTGTTCGTAAGGGGCGGATAAATTTAAAAGGCATCGTGTTAGCTCTGGAAAACCGTCCTCCGGTTCATTAAATGATCAAAAGCCACGGAGGCTCCGTGGTAAACTGGGCTTTGATGAAACCAAAGGAGTCCATCAAATGATACAAGTGGTTATCTAAAATTAATTGCTATATATACCGGGATTCTCTTGACCATGGAATCTGTGGGAGAGCTGCTGCAAATGAGGAAGTGTGACCAGATCAGGAAGAGGCAAAGCTGCATCTGAAAGCCCATGAACACATTTCCCTCTTTTTCACACTGATTTTAACCTCCCGCAGTGAAGTTTCTCACTACATTTCCACCACAATTTAAAGTACCCTACATTTAGAGACTGACACCCTGGCTAGTTGAGCAAATAACAGAGATTGTGGATTTATTGTCATCCAGATACAGTTTATAGAACAGTTCTCGGCAAACGGGCTTGCATATTAAAGCTGCTGCGAATCACACCTTTCTTCCAAAACCAAAGTGATTTTTAATATGAGGATTCATGGCTACATATAAAGCTCAAGGGTTCCATCTTGTCCTAAAATTTAAGCTACAGGCAAACTAAAATTCTTTAGTATGGTACAAGGTATATGTTACATATGATTCAATATAGATCTGGTGAGGTATAGGTGATACTGCTATTGATTTCAAAGCCTTTTGAGCCCTACCTTATAAAAATGCAGCTTTTTTGTCATCATTCTTATTTTGTGCTGAATTTCTGCATTTCTGTGCAGTTGGACTACACAACACTGAAGTAATTTTAATCTTCAGGTTATTGATTCAACATTGATTTGTTTTCAGACTCTCCATAGGAATATTCATTTGTTTAAAGAAGCTTGTTGTCTTCATGTAGACTAACCATTAAACTTTTCTGGTGACCTCCATGTTACAAATTATTAGGTGAAATTTAAGTTGGTCGTGTTGCCAATACAGTCTGACAAAGATGGTAGTCACTTTTTTAGTTTCCTTCCCCTGCTGTCAAGACTGAATAGGTTGACCCTGCATTCTTCGTCAAGACCTACTTATGGAATAAAAATTCCTTCTGTGGTAGGATATGGAGTAGCTGTCTATTTGTGATTTTTGTACACACTTTCATTGAACTAAATTAGTTTTAAAATACTAACAATTTTAATTGAAGTTTGTTCAGACCTCAGTAAGTGTGGAGCACTTGTAGGTGCACAGTAACAGTACTGCTTGTAGCTAAGATATCTAGATTACAGTCATGAGAGCAGGGCAAAGTGATAATTCCCTTGGGGAAGGCAGGATCCACATCAAAGGGAAGTCTAATACTTATGGTAATAAGAATTTTGTTTTCCAATTCTGTTTTTCTTGTTAATGCTGACTGGGATTTGCTTTTTATGTTGGAGATCTCAGGGCCCAGATGCTCAAGAAATTGATGGGAGTGATGATGATCCTTACATGAGCTGCTCAGATTACAGAGAGAGGTCATCTGCCAATAAGCAGACTTTGTAGAGACATCATGATCAAGAGATGTATTGGATGGTCTGAAAGGAGTTCAGAACCACAGGACTCTTGTAGGTCTGAAAACATCTGGTTGCTGAAAATTACTGAAAGCTCAGTAAATTTTGTTCCCCCAAAAAGGTTTTGAGAGTTGACAAGTGCATGGCATGATTCAATCTAATTCATTGTGCTATTTCACAACATAAAGGTGCTTTTGTCACTTGGAAGATTGCTTTTTAAAATCTAGTTTGGATGAGAACAATTGGTAATTAATTTTCTTCTACCAAATAATACTGATGTGAAAACAGTACCTATCCAAAATCTTTGTTGATTATACACGTGCACAAGCTGTGTGAAGCTGACAGTACATTAATTAGGATGTGAAACCTTTCTTTTGATACTCTGTACAAATGTAAGGTTTCTAGCATCACCAGTAGAGATTTTTATTGCAGAGAATTGCTGATAGCTGTCTGCTTCTTCCAAAACCATCAGGATTCTGCCTGTGTTTCCCTGCCCCTCTACCAAACTATCTATTAGAGTGAAAGCTTTTCAGTTCTTGTTTTCACATCCTATGCAGTACCATACAGACTGATAGGGCTTGATAAGGTCTTTTAATAACAATATTTCCCTTATGATCTTGAAAGCCCCCACAAATACAGAAATGCCTCTGGTATCTTCAAAATTAAATCTATTTAGTAAAAAGGCAATTTTATTGCAGTTATATAATTAAATTGATTATTAAAGGACTTTTTTTTCAAAAGCTATTTGTTTAAGGGGAATTTATAATACCTTCATGACCGCAGTGTAACTACTGGGCTAGGGACTAATTAGGAAGGGGGTACTGGAAGAAATCTTCGTTCGTGAAGCCTAGGCATGATGATTGGAAGAAAGGAATATCCTCCACTTCCAGAGCCTCTTAGGCTCTGTTTCAGGCAAGAGCATGGTTTTCCTGCCATAGTGCTCATGCAGGAGGCAGGATTTCCAGTCTCCAGTTTAAAGCCTGGATATATACATTATAGCCATTAGATAGCACACAGTAAAAAGGGTCAGAGTCATCTTCCTTTTTGTGATTCCTGTCTCTCCATCCTGAATTAATTCTGTTTCAGTGTAAGTCTGGTCCAGGCTTTAGGGTACTTTAGTTAGCTGGGAGAGGAGGGCTGAAGTGCCTCTGCATTTTGCTCACAAGATCCACTCTGTTGACAAGCAGCAGATCAAGGAGACCATCTTTCCGAGTCTGCTCCCTTGAGACCTGTTCCATAAAGTTGTCATTCAGTTTTTTAGGAATATTCTAGCCCAAGTGGTACCAGCTATGTGATGCTCCCAGTTAATTTCTGGCAAGTTGAAATCCCCATAAGGACAGGGGCAGTTCACTTGCAAGTGTCTCTTAGTTTTTCAAAGAATAATTTGTTGGCATTATCATCCTGGCTTGGGAGGTCTGTAGCAGACTCCCACAATGACATCTTGAATTATTTGTTTGCCCCTTGATTCTTACCCAGAGGCTCTCAACGGCGCCATTGCCAGCTGTGAGCTCCATACATTCTAACCCTTCTATTACATACAGTGCCACCCCTCTGCCTCTTCTGCCCTGCCTATCCCTCCTGAAGGGACTGTAATTGTCCAGCAGAGCACTCCAGTCTCAGGATTCATCCCACCAGGTTTAACTTATGACAACGATGTCAAATTTCTGGGACTGGGCCAAAGCTTCAAGCTCCTCTTTTGTTCCTCACACTGTGTGCATGAGTGTAGAAACATTTCAGGTGTGGTACATTGTAACCAACACTCTGTGAGGCAGATTGAGGGTTTTCTCAAGTTTTGGCATACCATCCCATCACTCATCACTGGTGAGTCTGGTTTTGTCCGTTTCCCTCTTCCAAGCTAATTTAGAGCTCTGTCAAAAAACCCCGCCAGCTCCTGTGCTAGAACTCTTTTTCCCCTCTGAGACAAGTGTATCCTGAAAGGTGTCAGTAGACCAGGTGTCAACTAGATCATCCCATGGGCAAAAACCCCCAAATTTTTCTGAGTACACCAACCTCAGAGCCACTCATTGACCTGATGGATCTGCCTATTCCTATCAATGTTATTCCTTGTTACTGGAAGAATCAAGAAAATCACTACCTGTGCTCCTGATCCCTCTACCAACCATCCCAGGGCTCTGAAGTCTCTTGATAGCCTTCAGACTTCTCTTTGTTATTTGGTCACTGCCAGTTTGAGCAACCAATAGCAGATAGTAATCAGAGGGCCTTACTAGACTGGAGGGTTTTCCAGTAATGTCCCTTATCCGAGCTCCTGGGAGACAGCAGGCTTCCCTGTGAGTTGGGTCCAGTCTGCAGATCAGGCCCTCCACTCCCCTTAGTAAGGCGTCTCCTGTTACAACTACCCTCTTTTCCTATTTACAGAGGACGTCTGGGTGCAGGGTACAGCTTGTGTTGTTTTTGGAGGCCCCACTACCCCAGAAAGGCCTTCATTCACCTCATCAGTTTTCTGGCCTTCCAGAGCCTGTTGTAGAAGGTGCCAGTCCTACTTGTCAAATTCTGAGAAGGAACCTTCCTCCTGGTACATGAAATGACTCCTGCTTCCAGCCTTCATCTTTAACAGACCCTTGACTAACAGTCCTTTGACTAATAGCCCTGCAGGGTGTTGAGTCCACCTGCTTCTACACTGCAATAGAGATTCAAGACTCCTGAGAGTCTTGAGACTGTAGTGTCTCTGAAAATGATTGATCTGTCTTTTGCTCATTTGCTCGAACACTACAAAGCCTGTTCACTTCTTCCTGTAGCTCCTTCACCTGGCGACACAGTTCTTCAACCACAGCACACCTTCTGCAAAATACCTGTTTGTCTGCCCCAGCCTCACAAATAGCATCCTGGCAACCTGTGACCTGGAGAGCTGTGTCTGCCATCAGCAGGTCTGTCTGTCTGGAGGCCTCTGACATGGCTGGTTCAGTGACTCCTGCAGCTACAGGTGATTGAGCTCTACAGCGTGTCAACAACATAAGTGAGGAAGCTTAAACTAGTATGCTAATAAGGCCTGGGCTGCGAGGATGTCTTTGCTCTTCCTTATGAGATACTAAATCTGTTTTCTGCCTCTATTAGCCGCTCCTGGATGGTCAGAGAGGAGCTCTTCCTGCCTGCATGAACTGCCCTGCAAACTGCCGTGTCACACCCTCACTGATGTGCCA